ACTTAAAAATATTTTATTATAATTATTTTTACAAGTTACAATATACAACAAAAAGATGTAAAAATTAAATTGTGGTTTTATACAGAGTGACCCAAAATTTATTTCTAAGCCAAATTTTTATAACAATGAAAACAAAAAATATTCTAAAACTGATGTTTTTTTAAAGGAACAATCTTATTATTTCAAAAAAATTCATAAAATTAGTTATGGTGTAACGTAAATGTCAAAATGACAATTCAAATTGCTATACATGGTGTTTACTAATCAAGAAGCATAAGTTTTTAATCAATTTTTCAAAAAAATAAGAATAAATTTTTTCACCCTGTATTCTTACAAAAAAGAAAACAGTGAACAGTAACAAAATTAAAAACTATTTTTTTACATAAAAATTCAATTCTTGTTTTGTACAGAGTGACTCAAGTTTTACTTTACACCAAATATTAAAATTTAATTTTTTTATAACAATAAATCCAAGAATTTTACTAAAAATGTTTAAAAATCGATTTAGTTTTTTACAGGATTAATAACTTTATTATTTCAAAAAGGAAATACTGAGGGTTTCAAAAATGCCCACTGAATTTTTAAAAACGGTAAATAATTATAATTATTGAGTTTTTATTACAAAAAGAAAAATCGTAAAAAAATCTATTTTATTTTTATACAGGGTGAGTCAAATTTTACCTCTAAATCAAATATGAAAATTTAAAAAAAACATACAGTGTCTAATAAAATAATATAAACTTATTTCGATTTTTATTCTGTACAGAGTGAGTAAAGTTTTACTTCCAACCTTAAAAACGCAAATTAAATTTTCAAAATATTTAATAATTATGATTATTTTGTGGGTTTTATTGCAAAAAGAGAAAATATAAAACAATCTATTCTGTTTTTATACAGGGTGAGTCAAATTGTACCAACTGAATTTTTAATAACTGAATAATTATACAAAAAAAACTTCGATATAGTTTCTTCACAAAATTAATTATTATTTCAAATAAATAAAAATAAAGAAATACAGAGTGTTTATAACCTGGTAGGTTTTCAAGCCAAATTATTGAGTTTTTAAAAAAGAAAAAAAAAAAAAAGAAATCTAAAAATTAAATTGTTGTTTTCTACGGAGTGTCTCAAGTCTTAGGGTTAGGGTACTTCTAAGCCAAATATTAAAATTATTGTTTTATTACAATCAATACAAAAATTTTACACAAATGTCAAAATGACACTTCAAATATTTATACAGAGTGTTTATTGAACTTTTTAATTTTTTTTAGGCCAGATCTGCCGCTCCTTGCGTCCTCTTCTTCGACGAATTGGATTCGATTGCAAAATCACGTGGTGGTAACCTAGGGGACGCCGGAGGCGCCGCCGATCGTGTCATAAACCAAATTTTGACCGAAATGGATGGAATGGGAGCAAAAAAGAACGTATTTATTATCGGAGCAACAAATAGACCTGGTGATAAAAAACCACACAAAAAAACCGAATTTTTTTTTAATCAAAATTTTACTGATTTTAGACATTATTGATCCTGCAATTTTGCGTCCTGGCCGTCTCGATCAATTGATTTACATCCCACTTCCCGATGAGAAATCACGTGAGGCGATTTTCAAAGCAAATCTGCGTAAATCCCCCGTTGCAAAAGACGTCGATTTGACATATATTGCAAAAGTGACACATGGATTCTCAGGTGCCGATTTGACTGAAATATGTCAAAGGGCGTGTAAATTAGCCATTCGTCAAAGTATCGAAACTGAGATACGAAGGGAGCGCGAAAGGGCCATGAATCCGAATAGTGCAATGGATGTGAGTATTACCCGAGGTGTGTAGCACCGAGGGCAATAATAAATTCGAGGCTATAATGGTGTGATTTTTATACGAGTTTAATGATTTGATGAAAACTTTTGTCACAATTCTAATTTTTGATAAACATGACTGTAGTTTCAGCAGAAAATTTATGTATTTTGTGAGTAAAATTAATTTTTTTACTTATTGATATAGTAAATTCAGTCAAAAATGTTGACACTATTTTTTTGAAAATTTGCACATTTTTTTTAGTCGTGTAGAAACTCAAATGCTAATTTTTTTCAAAAACAAGTTCAAAAATCGAGAGATAGTTTTGTTTTTCCAAATGATATTTTTTTACTCAACAAGGTAAAAAATCACTAAAATGGGTGAAAAAGTACATTATTTTGTTCATTTCTGAGCGGTTTATTTAGTATGTTTTTAGCCAGAAAGAGAACTATTTTACAAAATTTTGTTAAAAACAAACTGAGAATTTATCAAATTAGGTCAAAAGTAGTGTTATTTTTGTGTTTTAGCACTTTTTTAAAACAGATTTAAATTTTTGCTAAAACTGAAAAATTACCAAATTAGCTATATTTCGCCTCTTATTATTTCAAAATAAATAAATAAAAAATACAGTCTTCAATAAATTTTTTTTTTTGGTATAGACTTATTTTTTACATAATTATAATAATGAATGCATTTTTTTGCAAGAAAAAATCCAAAATATTTGATTTTTGTTTTGTACAGTCAAGGTTACTTTAATCTCAAACTGAAAATTGACTTTTCAACAACAGTAAATAATTGTAATAATTATTTTGTAAATTTTTATAAAAAAAAATCAAAAAATTAAGTTAAATTTTACTTCTATTTTAAAAATTCAAACTAATTTTTTTATAACCGTGAATAATTATTAAAAATGCAATAATTAAACAAAATATTTAATATTCAAAAAAAATACAAATGTAATAAAAATTGTTGATATAAATAAATTCAATGCCAAAACGTTAATTCAAATAACTATACAGAGTGTTTGTTAACCTGGAAACGTAGCTTTTTGAACCAAAGTATTAAATTTTTCAAAAAAAGCGAAATAAACGTCTGTTTTTTTTTTTAAAGAAATATCTAAAAATTTAATTTTTGTTTTGTACAGATACAAAAATATTCGTAAATCGATGTAGTTTTTTTAAAGGATTAACAATTTTATTCTTAAAAAAGAAGAAATAGAAATACAGGGGGTCTCATAAAATTCGTTATGGTGTAAGATCTAAACAGGGTGTTTATTATTAATCTGTAAAACGTAGCTTTTTAAAAAATTCTTGATAGTACATATAAACTTATTTTTTTTAATTATAATAAATGTTTCTTTTATAATTTTTTTAAAATACATTCAAATTTTTGTTAAAACTGACTGAAAAATTATCAAATTAGCTTGAAATCGATATCATTTTTGCGTGTTTCGCTATATTTCGCCTCTTATTATTTCAAAATAAATAAATACAGTCTTTAATAACTTTTTTTGGTAGAAACTTATTTTTTACATTATTATAATAATGAATGCATTTTTTTA